GAACTGTGCATACAACATGCACGCTTTAAAGCACGTTTTGGTTATCTATGATGAGACCAACAATGTTTTGAATCCTAAGATTCTATTAGCTGAATGCTAGGCGCATTCTCAATATTATGCCTTGAAGAGGACTCGAATCAACCATTCCCCAGCCATGACAATCCTCAGAAGTCATAAGTGTGTAAAGATCACTGCTTTGTCATCTCATGTTATCAATCTCAACCCCTTTTGAGCTTACTGTTTTGGATTTTTTCAGGTGTCTCTGTGGATGACCAATAAGAGAGGCTATGCCATTGCTCCTTACGACGCTGCCCTGAGGTTGAAATTAATCTGCAAGAACTTTGGCATAGAACAAGTAGAGAAGTACTTTGAAAAGATCCCAGAAAAACTTAAGACGTTTCACGTCTATCTTTCCCTCCTCAACTGTTACACCGTGGCCCGATCAGTGGACAAAGCCGAATCCACGATGCGGAAAGCCAGAGACTTGGGGTACGTCAGCAAACCCATATGGTACAACCTCATGATGCAGCTGTATCACAAAGTGGGGAACCGAGAAAAAGTGACTGACCTGTTAACCGAAATGGATGCAGAAGGCATCTCACCCGATCAGTTCACGTTTTTTGTCTGCATGAGCTCATCCGCTGAGTCATCCGATGCTGTTGGAATGGGTAAAATCTTAAAAATCATCGAATCCGACCCGACCCTCAATACAGGCTGGCAAGCACACTTTGTGGCGGCCGAGGGCTATTTGAAAATGGGCATGTTTGACGAGGCCCTGGACATACTGAACAAGATGGAGAAAAAATCGGTTAAACATGAGAAGGAAGACCTATTGTTCGTTTTCCTCATCAAGTTATACGCCGAGGCCCAGAAAAAGGACGCCGTGTACCGTGTTTGGAACCGGCGCAGGAAGACAGGAAAGCTTACCAACAAGGTTTACATAAGCATGATGCGTGCACTCGGAAAATTTGCGGACATTGAGGGAATGGAGAAGATTTTGGACGAGTGGGACTCGAGCGGGATGTCTCTCGATTTCCGAGTCCCGAATTTCTTGGTTGACGCGTATTGTTCGAGTGGTCGTTTGGATCGGGCTGTGGCCCTAATAGCTAGAGTGGCATCAAGGGACTGCCGGGACGTGGTGACGTGGTGCAAGCTGGCAGAGGGATATGTGAAGGAAAATCAAATGCCCAAGGCCGTGGAGGCCCTGAAGAAGGCTATGGCAGAGTGTGCCCCTAATGTTGGTGCTCGGGAGACTTTGGCAGCTTGTTTGGAGTGTCTAGGGAAATGTGGGAACTGGGAGAAGGCTATTGAGTTGGTGAAGTCTGTGAGGATGAGAGGTGTTTGTCGGGAGGGGGATATATCGAGATTGATGAGAGATGTGGAGTTTGAGTCGTGCGTGAAATAAAAGGGGATTTAGATGCGATGTTTTGCGAGTGAGGATGAATGTGCAGATGTTGAGTAGGATCAGGACTTGTTTAGATGACAGGATGTTATTTTTTACCGGAAGTAGTTATGAGTTTTATACCAAGTCTCTAGCTCGAAATTATTTCAAGGTATTTGGCAATTTTTCGGAATGTGGTTTTGTCTATACCATTTTTTGGTCGAGTGATTATGTTCGTTCTTACAGTGGAGCGGTTACTGGAACAGGGCTATACTTTAAACCAATCACGGTTTGATGTTTGTGGCATTGATATTTGCACGTTTTCTTTACATCCTCCCTGTCAATATATAGGTTGCTATGGGGGTTCAGTTATCCTGCAGCTTGGCTTCAGAGTAGTTGGAATATATTTATTTTTTGTTAGAAACTCGAACTTTCTTGCTAGAGTTTCTTGAGAAAATGCCGGGAAGATTGATACTTTTGACGAATGACATGCTATGGAAAGGAAATTACTGGAAATTTATTTTTAATACATGCTCCTGTTGCTTCAAGTTAAAGATCAGCTACTGCATGAAGGCTCAAGAAATAAGGATATACTTTTAAGACTGTGAATACTTTATTATAACTCTCATCTTTGGTGCTCACAGGTACATATGAACCCTCACATAAAATTTTGTACAACGTATACAAACTACGGATGTATACGGACCGGAGCATTATTTTCAACAAAAAATCAAAACACAAGAAAGCACAATAGAAAGAAACAAAATAAGAAGATTGTAACCCTGTTCAGAGACTCCTCTGCCCTCAACTCCCGTCTTCTCAGCCTCGGGCTTCGGTTCCCCACAGTGTGGTACGAATTGGGATATGTATACAAACTCTGTGAATTACCAAAAACCCTTGCATAAATCATCTCTCCAAAAGCTCCCATTGTAGGGTGGAAAACAGACATTGCTGCAGTACCATTAAATGGGGTCGGTGAGTATTCTCCATAATTCGTAAAATTATTCGAAAACTCGTGTTGAATTCGAGCTTGATGATGATGAGGATAAGAAGGCATAAACTGCTGTTCAGAATTCAGCAAGCTCGTGAGAGCCTTTGTGTTGCAGGCGGGTGGCCTTGGAGGTATATTAACTTTGTTGTCAGGTTCAGATTCGGAAAATGTCTGTCCTCGGCCGTAAAGAGGGACTATGGTTTTTTCGGATATTTGGGCCTTGCAAATGGGGCATTGTGTGGGCTCGTCTGAGGAGGCTTGGGACTCAAGCCACTTGTATATGCAGGGCCAACAGTAGAGGTGGCCGCAAAGGGTTACAACTGGATCACGTGCAAAGTCGAGGCATATACTGCAGTCGAAGCAGGCAGAATTCTTTTCGGGGATAGATTCCCATTCCTGAACAAAATACTGGGGAAATTCCATGTGATGAGATTTTCTTGGACCTGTGAAATGAAATGAAAGAAAATTTATCAGAACAGTGCACAAAGATGATGATCAATTATTACAAAGAGATCTGATCTGGTCTGATCTTGATCTTAAACATAGGAAGGATCAACTCAATTTGCAAGAATCCTATTTGCAAAAAAATCAAATTATTTTTCCCTGTTTGTTGTTTGAATGGTCAAGGCAAATACAAAGGACTCAACCACAACCTTTCAATATGACAAAAGGGATTGGATGAAACCCAAAGGTGGAATGAAAAGTAGTCAGCCAAGAAAGTTCAATCTTCATCATTATTAAGAGTTGATAGCTGATAAATTTAAAAAAAAAAAAAAACTAAAATAAAATGATCAAATCTTGACAAATTTCTACGATAGGGAGACGCTACGGTCCCTTTACGGAACCATTCCGTCGGAATTTGTAACCGTTAGATCAACTATCTCGATGGTTACATGATGATCTAACAATTACAAACCCGACGGAATAGTTCCGATAGCATTGTATCTTGTTGATCAAGGGTTACAGATAATTTTCATCAAAAGCCCTCTCATGCTTTCCACTTTGACAGAAACTTATGCTATTGATTAAATTCAGAAGACTTGAACACAATAAAGCAAAGGTTTATTAATTAATCCAACAAACCAAAAAGAGCATGGAAAAATCCAGATTAATTCATTCAATTAATTCAAAATATAATTCCACGATTTGGGTCCTTTTTTTCTTACATTGATTGTTCACCAGCTCACATGAATGACAGAGAGAAAACA